TTTTTTTTATGACCTTCCGATTTTTATGGCTATTTCAATGTAAAAAATGTTAAAAATAGCCAGAACGTTAAAAAACACACAGATTATTCAATATTAACTCAATCGACTTAAAATTTTAGGATTGACCTGATTATAACTTAAAGTTAACATTAAAAAAAAAAAAAAAATTTATGTGAAATTTCAAACTTAAATGACTTTCTAAAAATGGTGCTTTTTTTGAGAAAATTGGCGTTTTTGAGCTCACCTAAAACCATTAAGAAGTTATTATTTTATAGTGATTTTCAAATGTGGTATTGTATAGTATATAATCTATGTTTCAACTAAATTTCAAATATTTAAAACAATTTTCTTGGGATTTAGAGGCCTACAAAGTTAGAAATTTTATAAAAAGACACGTATTCTAGGTGCATTATCTCTGTTGGGGGACCTAATTTCGAAAATTTTTTTTTTTAATTTTTTAGTTATATATCTGCTTAATACACCATAAAAATTTGAAGTTTGAGAAAAAAGTTTAACATGTAAAATTTAGCATTAGAAAATCAGTAAAAATCCGTTCAAAATCATGTAATTTAATGATACTTTTTTGTTGTTTTCAAACCATATTTTTATAATTTTTTTATATATTACTGTATATGTAATATATTACAATACAATGTAACTATTATATATTATAATTATTACATATAAACTTTTCTGTAAGAATTGTGTATAGGATTTATAGGTTGTATTGTGGATATTTTTAATTTTAAATCTAATACTTTGGCGTTATTTGTCTTTATAGATATCTAATTCTAATATATGTAAAAGTAGTAAAAAAATTCTCAAGAAACGTCTGGAAACATTTACGAATAATATCTCTATGCAATCTATACTTTTTACTTATTAAACTATGTATAGATAGACTCGTTTCGATAATAACAGACTGAATCGATAACAATGGTATATCAGAATAAGATTATCGAATTAGATAATAATTGTGTTTAATCTAATTATAGCATAAATAATGAACCCTGAAAATTTAAGAAAAATATGAGGTGGTCGTGCAACCACTTCTGGATGATTTGGCATGGATTGACCCTATA